TGTACCTTATATATTGTTCACTTGTCACAAGGGAGACAGGTTGATGTACCCTCTATGTTTGTTTATGTTAACACATCGAGGGTACATCAACCCATGGGCCCCGACTGTCCAGTGTACAACGTATTTATCTGACCGAACACCTCAATGTTAATTTTGAACTGTTTTAAGCACGGGTATTCGATCATAATAAGGATTACCTGAGTTAGGCAACAGTCCAAACACTACTAACACGAAGTACCAAACGAATTTTCACAGTTCGGCATTTCCAGCTGGTAACATAGAAAATGTTACTCGCTTGATGGCGAAACAACATTTAATGTGTGAAGTAAGGTAAATATATATCACTCACTCACTATTGTGTATTTCAAAACTTTGTCACAACGTGTTGTGTTATTTCAGAAATATGCAGTCTATCGATATTGATGAGTTGTTAATGCTGTGCCTCACCATGGCTGAAACCTGTTATAACGATAGCGACCACATACGTTGTAACAGGTGCTCTTGTAATGCATGTTTTGTATCGCGATGTGTACAGTCCAGCAATGCATACTGTCACAAATCCGACGAGTCGTACCTTGCGATGTCGCAGGGAGGGAGGTATGTGCATGTACCAGGCGGTAGATTTGGGTCTTTTTATTTCTCTCTATTAACCTGAACACAAGAATGGGAGATACAGAAATGTACGGTGTCTTGGTTACATCCGGAAGGTGTGCGTGCGTGTCTGTGTCTTCCCTCTCCTTTACATACAGCACAAGTAACGGAGCAAAATGAGTTCGTGCAGGTCATTTTAAAGGTGTTATTTTTTTCCTCTTTAATATCTCTGCCTAGGCGATTTGAGGCGACTGTGAAGCTTTAAAGTTCATCACGTTGCGACCAGCAATGCTGGTTCCTGTTACGCATACCATTTTTCGAACCTTTGACATCTGAAAATGTCTGCTATCACCATCTTGTATCGTTGTCAGCACGTGACCCATTCCATGACTCCTCCTGGTGTCTGGAAGTGTTTCCACTACTACCCCTCCCTTCCTCTCCCTTCCCCCTCTTTCGTTTCTACTGCTTTTCCCTTTCGGTTTCGCCTCCCTAAAAAATAGAATTCCACCATATACGTTCCTATCTTCCCCCAGCTCCTCAAACAGCCAATGCTACGTGCCGTCGACACAGAACAAGATCAAACAACTTAAAACACCGGTATAGGATGCTGCATATATTTAAAAGTCGAATTCGCATAGAAAGAAATTTACCCAAGGCTCCACTTGTCCCTATATTAGACGGGTCTTTCTGCATTTCGGCAGTTCTGCTTTCGGAGTTTTCAGACACGAGATCCCTCTTCTTTTCAGACACCGGGTTTTGTACAATATGTTGAAGCTCTCTGGAATCTGTATTGCTCTTCTGGGACTTGTCCTCACTGTTAACGGACAGACAGGTAGGTGATCCTTCACCTGTTGTCAGGTATATACACTTTCTCAATTAGCCAGTTGAGGTTCCCTTAACGTTACACCGATGTAATTGTTCATTGGCTGTCGATAGGGACCGTTTATCACACTCGTTGTCTTAACGCTTTGAAATACATTCGTCGAAATAGACTTCATCTGCTCATTGTGGCGTCAAGTATTCACTCTAAGTATATAACTGTCTTATCAGTTAAGAATCAAGGTTAACACTATATTTTAACGTACGTAAAACATAACTGTCTTTGTCGAAATTATACTTCAACGTATGTAAAACCTGACTCTCATTGTTCACATTACTTCAAAGTAGGTGAAGTAAAATTGAACTATCATGGTTAACACAACACTTTATGGAAGGTAAAACTAAATGGAATTCAATGAAAAATACATGATATTATCAATTACCAAAACTGCAATATTGAAGCTTCTGTGAAGTAACAGGGACAACAGATCTGCAGAGCCATGTTCCCATAACGTTACACCGATGGCATTGTCTGTTTTTTATAATTGACATTTTTTATTTCCTGTTTCCCCTGTTACAGTAAAAGGCAATAGAGCCAGTGGACTCTAGAGTTTTTTGCAAGAAAACTTTGTTTCACAACAGAAAAAACAGGATTTATTTCTAACAAAGCACAAAACAACAACACAAGACCCCACAACACATTCACTCACCAATCACACTTACAAGTTTCAAATAAGTACAGTAAGTTTGTTTAAGTTCAAGTTCATTCAGCCTATATTTTTTTCTTCATTAGGGAACAAGGAGAAAGAATTCAGAAAGTCATTTAAAATTTGCAACATCATCATATAACATCCACTTTTTATAAAACTTATCTTGTTCACTTTTACTGAAGGATAAGGTTTGCTGTTGAACGAGGTTGTAGACAAGGCGATCCTCTTTCTCCGTATATCTTCATCCTTTGTGTCGAGATCCTGGCTGGTCTTATAAGAAAGAATAATGATATTAAAGGAATTACAGTTAATGAGGAGTAGTATCTGTTGGCGCAGTATGCAGATGATACAGAGTTTATTCTAAATGGTTTCTCAGAAATCTTTTGAAGCTACAGTAGACACTTTGAACTTTTTTGCTGATATCTTAGGTCTTAAGATTAACTAGGATAAGTCTCTGGTAATATGGATGGGGCAAGAAAGAATAGTTCAATCAGATACTTACCTTGTTTAAATATACAATGGGATCCAGAATATTGCAACCTCCTAGGTGTAATACTTTCAACAGATTTAAATGTTATGGCTTGAAAGAATTTTGAAAATAAATTATTTGAGATTCAGTAAATTATCAACAGGTGGATAAAACGAATACTTACACCACTTGGTAGAATTGCCATTATAAAATTATTGCTAACTTTAAAATTGAATTATCTCTTTCTTACTATCCCAAACCCACCAGTGAACATCCTGCATGAATTATACAAAGTACTATTTAAATTTCTCAGGAGTGGTAAACCTGATAAGATCAAAAGAGTGGTTGCTTGTAAGGCTGTTAAAGAGGGTGGACTGGTATGGTTGAAGCTTTCTTTTGTCAGTTCTTTAAACTTGTCTTGGATGAGAAAGTTGTTGGATATTGGTTATGAATCCAAATAGAAATGTTTGTGCTATGCTTCCTCCCCCCAAAATGCAAATTCTAGCTGTATTTGGTAAGTTTTTTCCAGGTACACTCTCCAAAGATATTAGAAATGAATTTTCGCTTGCTTGTATTTCTTCTTTTGACAAGTTTGCACTTAAGATTCAACCATGTTCATTTGATGAATTCATCACAGAACCAATCTATTATTACAAGCAATTAAACATTGGTATAGAGGTTTCTGTTCTGCTTAGTTTGAGAGAGGTGTTAGTCAGATTCGTCATTTTATCAATTTAGACTGAACATATTTGTACTCTCGAGGAATTTCAGAACACTTTTGAACTTGACAAAAAAATTCGCCATTATATTGGTCTTATCATGGCTATTAAAAGTTCTCAAACTAAGTTAAAGATGATGAAACCTACTTCTTTTGAGCAGTTAGATGATAATACAGTGAATCGAAAACTGATGTCTGTTAAAAGGGGAGCCAAGTGTTGTTATTAATATGTTTTATTGCATCTGATGTTAACCTACAATTCAAGAATAAGTGGGAAGATTGTATGCTTGCTGAACTTGAATGGGAAAAAATATTACCACATAACACCACGTAAACTTCGATGGTTTCAGTTCAGGGTTATATATTGTACTCTATCAACTAAGTCGTTTATATTTAATATCAAATTAGCTGAAAGCAACTTATGTACCTTTTGTCAATGTGAGGTTGAAACAATCTCCCAGTTGTTTTGGTATTGTGAACATGTGCAGGCTTTTGGAAATGTTTTCTAGAAACATGTCAACATGTTCACAACATGAAATTGTAACTGCAACTTACTGTGTTTGGAATGAGAACAAATGTATATACTGATAATGTGTTTGATTTAATATTGTTGCTAGCTAATTTCTCAATATACAAATGTGAGGTATTAAAAACTACTCTTAGTTTTAAACATTTTGGACATTTACAAGAGAGGTATTTTATTGAAAAGAATATATCAGATGTCATTTTTCATCGGCTGGAGATACAGATGTGTTCGTTTGTTTAATAGACCCATTGTCGTAACGCTTTGAAAAAAAGTCGTCAAAATCGGCTTCATCTGCTTATTGTGGTGTCAAGTACTCACTCTAACTAAACGTTGTTATCAGTTAAGAATCAAGGTTAACACTAAATTTCATGTAAAACGTCACTTTCTTCGAAATTATACTTCAACGTAGGTAACCCCTGACTGTCACTGTTGAAAGTATACCGCAACATAATATTTCACTCTAAGTAAACGGTCTTATCAGGTAAGAATCAAGGTTAACACTATATTTCAACGTACGTAAAACATAACTGTCTTTGTCGAAATTATACTTCAACGTATGTAAAACCTGACTATCATTGTTCAAATTACTTCAAAGTAGGTGAAGTAAAATTGAACTATCATGGCTAACACACTACGTTATGGAAACTAGATGGAATTCAGTGGAAAATACTGGATATTATCAATTACTGACACTGCAATATTGAAGCTTCTTAACAGAGACAACAGATCTGTTGAGTCAGCCTTTAAAATCAACCAAAGTGTTTCTGCTCAGTTCAGTGGAGAAAGACAGAATGATTCCGTCGAGTCACCTATATCAGTTCTTTAAAGTCAGTCCTAGAGCTTCCTTAGAGTCAGTAAGAATGGTTCCTTAAAGTGAGTTCGTATGCTTCTTTAAAGTGCTAGCGGTCGCTTTCCAAGTTTAAATGTAGCAAACACTGTCCCTCACTCACTATTCACTTATACAATGTATACAATTGAGACAGTGTTATACAATAAAAAAATCTCCACTTATACAATTGAGACATTGTCACACTATAAAGTACTCTGCCGCATAACAAACGCCACTACAAAAGGCACACCATTGTTCTTTAGAGTGAATCATAGATGAGTGTAAGTTATCAGTGACATTTATATAGACCATCGTGCTTGATTACAGTGGCACCGGACCCTCGGTGCAATGGCTTCCGGGATGGCGTAGGGAACATTATGGCTGAAGGCTTGGAGTGTAAATACTACCTCTCGTGCTTTAACTTCATCATCAATCACGACCCCATGGCCTGTGCTGGAGGCACCCTATTCAACCCCGACTCTGGCATGTGTGATGCGGAGGAATGCAACGACAATAGCGGTTTTTCTAATTATGGTAGGTTCCCTGTTGCTACTTTTATACTAGAACTATGTTCATGACCACACATATCACAACTATGTTCATGACCACACATACCACAACTATGTTCATGATCACATATATCACAACTATGTTCATGACCACACATATCACAACTATGTTCAAGACAAAACATACCACAACTATGTTCATGACCACATATATCACAACTTTGTTCATGACCACATATATCACAAGTGCGTCCATGACCACACATATCACAACTATGTCCATGACAACACATATTACAACTATGTTCATGACAACACATACCACAACTATGTTCATGACCACACATACCACAACTATGTTCATGACCACACATATCACAACTATGTTCATCACCACACATATCACAACTATGTTCATGACCACACATATCACAACTATGTTCATGACCACACATATCACAACTATGTTCATGACCACACATATCACAACTATGTTCATGACCACACACAGCTATGTTCACAACTATGTTCATGACCACACATATCACAACTATGTTCATGACCACACATATCACAACATGTCCACTATGTTCATGTTCATCCACACATATCACAACTATGTTCATGACCACACATATCACAACTATGTTCATGACCACACAACTATGTCCATGACCATTCACACAACTATGTTCATGACCACACATATCACAACTATGTCCATGACCACACATATCACAACTATGTTCATGACCACACATATCACAACTATGTTCATGACCACACATATCACAACTATGTTCATGACCACACATATCACAACTATGTTCATGACCACATATATCACAACTATGTTCATGACCACACATATCACAACTATGTTCATGACCACACATATCACAACTATGTTCATGACCACACACATATCACAACTATGTTCATGACCACACATATCACAACTATGTTCATGACCACACATATCACAACTATGTTCATGACCACACACATCACAACTATGTTCATGACCACACATATCACAACTATGTTCATGACCACACACACATATTCACACATATATCACAACTATGTTCACAACTATGTTCATGACCACACATATCACAACTATGTTCATGACCACACATATCACAACTATGTTCATGACCACACATATCACAACTATGTTCATGCCCACACATATCACAACTATGTTCATGACCACACATATCACAACTATGTTCATGACCACACATATCACAACTATGTTCATGACCACACATATCACAACTATGTTCATATGTTCATGACCACACATATCACAACTATGTTCATGACCACACATATCACAACTATGTTCATGACCACACATATCACAACTATGTTCATGACCACACATATCACAACTATGTTCATGACCACACATATCACAACTATGTTCATGACCACACATATCATATCACAACTATGTTCATGACACACACATATCACAACTATGTTCATGACCACACATCACAACTATCACAACTATGTTCATGACCACACATATCACAACTATGTTCATGACCACACATATCACAACTATGTTCATGACCACACATCACAACTATGTTCATGACCACACATATCACAACTATGTTCATGACCACACATATCACAACTATGTTCATGACCACACATATCACAACTATGTTCATGACCACACATATCACAACTATGTTCATGACCACACATATCACAACTATGTTCATGACCACACATATCACAACTATGTTCATCATGACATACACATATCACAACTATATGTTCATGACCACACATATCACAACTATGTTCATCACCACACATACAACACAACTATGTTCATACACCACACATATCACACTATGTTCATGACCACACATATCACAACTATGTTCATGACCACACATATCACAACTATGTTCATGACCACACATATCACAACCATGTTCATGCCAACACATATCACAACTATGTTCATGACCACACATATCACAACTATGTTCATCACCACACATATCACAACTATGTTCATCACCACACATATCATCATCACAACTATGTTCATGACCACACATATCACAACTATGTTCATGACCACACATATCACAACTATGTTCATGACCACACATATCACAACTATGTTCATCACCACACATATCACAACTATGTTCATGACCACACATATCACAACTATGTTCATGACCACACATATCACAACTATGTGTTCATATGTTCATCACCACACATATCACAACTATGTTCATGACACACATATCACAACTATGTTCATCACCACATATCACAACTATGTTCATCACCACACATATCACAACTATGTTCATAACCACACATATCACAACTATGTTCATGACCACACATATCACAACCATGTTCATGACCACACATATCACAACTATGTTCATGACCACACATATCACAACTATGTTCATGACCACACATATCACAACTATGTTCATCACCACACATATCACAACTATGTTCATGACCACACATATCACAACTATGTTCATGACCACACATATCACAACTATGTTCATGACCACACATATCACAACTATGTTCATGACCACACATATCACAACTATGTTCATCACCACACATATCACAACTATGTTCATGTATCACAACTATGTTCATCACCACACATATATCACAACTATGTTCATGACCACACATATCACAACTATGTTCATGACCACACATATCACAACTATGTTCATGACCACACATATCACAACTATGTTCATGACCACACATATCACAACTATGTTCATCACCACACATATCACAACTATGTTCATCACCACACATATCACAACTATGTTCATGACCACACATATCACAACTATGTTCATGACCACACATATCACAACTATGTTCATGACCACACATATCACAACTATGTTCATCACCACATATCACAACTATGTTCATACCACACATCACAACTATGTTCATGACCACACATATCACAACTATGTTCATGACCACACATATCACAACTATGTTCATGACCACACATATCACAACTATGTTCATGACCACACATATCACAACTATGTTCATGACCACACATATCACAACTATGTTCATGACCACACATATCACAACTATGTTCATGACCACACATATCACAACTATGTTCATCACCACACATATCACAACTATGTTCATCACCACACATATCACAACTATGTTCATGACCACACATATCACAACTATGTTCATGACCACACATATCACAACTATGTTCATCACCACACATATCACAACTATGTTCATGACCACACATATCACAACTATGTTCATCACCACATATCACAACTATGTTCATGACCACACATATCACAACTATGTTCATGACCACACATATCACAATGTATGCACATGTTCACATATATGTTCATGACCACACATATCACAACTATGTTCATCACCACACATATCACAACTATGTTCATGACCACACATATCACAACTATGTTCATCACCACACATACCACAACTATGTTCATGACCACACATATCACAACTATGTTCATGACCACACATATCACAACTATGTTCATCACCACACATATCACAACTATGTTCATCACCACACATATCACAACTATGTTCATGACCACACATATCACAACTATGTTCATGACCACACATATCACAACTATGTTCATGACCACACATATCACAACTATGTTCATGACCACACATATCACAACTATGTTCATGAACACACAAATCACAACTATGTTCATCACCACACATATCACAACTATGTTCATGACCACATATATCAGAGCTATGTTCATGACCACAATCATCACAACTATGTTCATGACCACACATAGCACAACTGTGTTCATCACCACACATATCACAACTATGTTCATGACCACACATATCACAACTATGTTCATGACCACACATATCACAACTATGATCATCACCACACATATCACAACTATGTTCATCACCGGCACCCCTTGAAGAGCAACCTCCCGTGGTGGGTGCTGGGTAACGCCAATGGGCTTCGCCCCCGTGTGGACCCGGGGTCGAATAGGTCCACAGCACCCCATTGCTGGTCGTAAGAGGCGACCAAATTTGGCAACCCGTTTGCCGTGGGTTGCATCCCTGTGTCGGCAGAGGAAGGGAGTCTGGTGGTTGAGGATGACGGAACCGGCAATAGTGTTCACTAATCCAACACACCACTTCGACCCTAACTTTGCCTAGTCGGGTGGTAGAATAGGCCCGATTCTACCAATCGGCTGGTCACGCCTTGCCCTGTGCATGGAATGTCTATACAAAACGTGGTATTACATAACACTTTTGACCATGTTCAAAATGTTAACAAATATTCTACGAAACAAATTAGCCTCTCAGACCCATGCACAGAAGGCGGTGGCTCATGGGCCAATCTGGTGATGCTGACCTCCGATTTCTGTACGTCTCCAATTGATTGTCATGGACAGAACCATCCTGACCTTTAATCTGGTAGGCAGCTACAGCATTTCATGTCAAATTCGCTGGAGTATAGCACCCCCTTATCCCTAGTCTTTGCAGCTTGGAGATCCGCTGCAATATAAGATCGTCCTTGTTGACACTCCACGGTGGATGGGGAGAGGGGATGCCGAACCACATTACCCACGACATGGCTTCCCAATACCCCGGTTCAAAACGAAGACATAATTCCTCGTCTGACGAGAGTACGCCCCCCCCCGACCTGACTACTGGCCACGCTTCCTGATTATTGAGGCTTGTGACAAGCAACCTTTGCAAGTGAACCCTTTTGCAATCTCCAAAGGTATCGCTGGTATCTGCGGAGAGGTTGCCAATGTCACAAAGCTCCGATCTGGCTCTCTCCTGATAGAATGTACCCGGAAACACCAATCTTTAAATCTTCTCAAAATACAAGAATTTGTAAATATCAAGGTCGCTGTCTCAGCACACAAAACCCTTAATTCGTGTAGAGGCATTGTACGGGAC